TTAGAGTGTGAAGGCATGGAGATGCAACAAGACATGTAGGCAGTACAGTGAATGATGAACTTTCTTCAAGTATTTGCACTGTGTCACGTTTTGTGTATCCATAACCACAGCTGTGAGTTCCTGTTTGTGAACCTGGTATTTTTTTACTCTATGCATATGAAGTATTAAATAGAATTCCAGAACATTAAACAACCCAAAACATACAAGATTCGCCATAACATTATGGTTGGTACAACTGATTACAAGTTTACAATAGCTCTGTTTTCCAAATGGAACAAGAACCCTTTTAAATATAAAAGAAGCAGAGCAGATATCAACATGAAATGCTCTGCATTTGTCAATGCAAGGGAAATTCATGACCACACCAGCCTCCACAGAGGCTAACTGGAAGATATCCAAGAGTGATGACTGAACAGAAACTGACCTGTTGTGTGCAATTGGCACAGTATTGCCAGAGCTAGGAACAAATAGTAATAACCCCACCTCTTCTACATATGTATTACAACACCCCCAACCGGCAACATTTCCTGGAAAGAGCAGGAAAGTAACAGAACAATTGTTTTAGGATGGAATAGTCAATGCTGTATTTCATCCCAGCTGTTCAAAAAGCAATGCTAAGAATAGGTCTGTGTTTCTAATACAGGACTTCCTTCTCGTCATTTGCCATCCTAATCCACTTCAGAGATGGCTCCATTTCCTATACAAGCTAAGTCCCTGGAAAAGACTCGGTGTCCCATGGTGCCAAGCACTGCATTATTCACATACTGAAGGATGGTCGAGATGCCTTGAAGGCTCAAATCAAAGTAAAATTTAGTGTCATTTTAAGCCTCAAGCCAACTTTTCTAACCAGTATGGGCACATCTTATGGTTGAGGATTGTTTTGAAATTGCTTTACGTCAAAAAACAACGTGCGAGTATATTGGCAACGAGAGGCATATTGGTTACTCTATTGCTTCTTGCTGTTTGAAACAGTCACCATAGGACTCTGACTGCAGGGTGTAACTACAGGCAGCACACTTGCTCTTCACTGTTTAATACAGCCCCTTTAATGTGATACTGGACAGCCTTTGGAAAGACTAAATTGATAAAGGAAATACATTTACCCTAAAAAGCTCTTTAGGAATTTAGTTTCTTGACCAAAAAATTAACAAACAAAAATAATACACTGACACAAAACTAGTAGGATATAGATACTGATAAAAGTGCAAGTGAAAGGGCTAATAACAGCTAAATCAGGAATTATGCAAACTCCTTTTTATCTTGCCCTGCTTTTCCTGTTGCTTCCTATTTTCACTTGCAATGCCCATCCAGTTCAAATCCAGAGCATCAGCTGAAAAGCAATTTTCACTGGGAAAGTGTGCTCAAGCACTCATTGTGGAAATGGGACACCAGTACAATACAAACATAATGGGTGAAAAATTCCCAGTCTTGAGCCTTTGTTTCCATGTTTGACTTGGTTTTGCTGCTCTCTTTGCATAGGGGCAGTGTGTCTGGGGCAATCACTGAACTGGCAAATGTGAGGAAGAAACAGTTGCTGTTGAACTACAATCTGGGCTGTATAATAGCAGTTTTGAGAATCAAAGCTGCATTTTGATGGGTCCCTGCTCACAGTACAGCTTCTGGGATATGCACTAGCATAACATAAGGCTACTTTGCTGAGCCTGGTTTGGCATTTTAAAGCCGTCTTGCATCACATCACACTTAGATGGGTTCAGAAATTTGTTACTGTATTTGTAACAAAAAAAATCCATGGTCTCACTTCTTACCAAATCTTTGTAAGCCAGGCCACTGTCAACAACCACCAGCATTTTTCAGGCACATTACAGACTGTTCATCAACTTTCAAGTTGTGACTTCCTAAACTGAAAGATACCATTTTCAGATATGACAGTAACAAGAATTACCACCTCTCTTTACTTGTATTGATTTTCAGTATGCATTTTGCCTCTTTTCTATTGATCCATTTACATGCATTTTTCACTTTTACTATTAGGCATTGATAGAACAGCAGTCAGGCTAAAGAAGGTCGTTTCTCCAGTTGAATGATCATTTGGAATTATCACAGAATTATCTTCATGTAAATGTACTAGTGCATAAAATAACATGTCATTAAGAACTCTAGAACTGTAAGAACTGTAGCAATGCACTAGAAAAGTTAAGGTTTGTGAAGCCTCTGATACTTTCTTCCCCTCCAAATTTTTTTATCCACAAATGCCAAATTGAATATTCCTACAACATCTGACAATATCAAGGTACCTGATGTTAAAAATCCCATGTCGTTTTCAGTACTGGCTTTTGCCCTGCTAACATTTTCTCTATGTTCAAAGAAAGGATTCTATTTGATTAAGCCTCATAAACTATATGAGCTTATCAGATGAAAAAAAATCCAGGAAAACAATCATTGTAATGCTTGTATGATCAAATAGCACTGACAGCACTTAAATCTTTAGGTATCAAGTGCTTTCCTCTTCTCTTTCCACTAAGGAAAGCCTGATTAGGCAGTTCAAGTTTCCTGTTCTGAAAATGAGAAACTATTTGTTCTCTTACATCAAGTCCCAGATTTTTTGGCCTTTCAGAATGGATTGATAGTTAAACTTAAAGGGTCTGCAATTTAACAGTTTCAACAGCTCAAAAGAGGTCTGTTACATTAATTTGGATCTCTCACAGCATATCAACTACTTGGCAACAGACAAAAAAGTAGTTCTTACACTCTCCAACCCTCTTGACTTCAGTTTCTTCTAAGTCACTTCCAATATCTGTTCTGTTCAATACAGTGGGCAATGACAGCTCCAAAAAATGCAAGCAGGAAGATTAACAGTCATTATTTGACAGAAAAAGCCCAAATTCAGTAGACTGGTACATCACCGAGATGTACAGTTTTGTCCTAAACAGAAGGAAAGCCCTGGTGTTGAGCAGAATCCCTCAAAGAGTAGCATGAGCAACAGTGCCCAGCACAGTTAAAAGCAAACTAGTTTTGGGGCTGTCTTTGTCAAGCTTGTGCAGCAACTAGAGCCAAGGATCTTGGCCTTCATCTGCAGCTCCTTGACGCAACTGTAGTAAAGGTTACGCTCATGTAAGATACATTTCCTGATATGTCAAGGAGGAAAAAAAAAGCTTAACTTTTATGCAAACTAAGATTAAGTCAGTTAATTGTAAATAGCTCATAAATTAGCATATTCTAATAAGTTTTAAGTAGGTTAGTATTGTGTCTGAAAGCCTGTTCTGAGTTAGTTGTATCTTGTTAGTGAAGCAACACCTTCAGTTTTTCCTACTAGCCTGTCTCTCTAGTTCTTTTTCCTTCCACAAGAAAGTCTAGAGAAATAACAGACTGCTGGCTCCACCTTATTCCCATACTCCATCACTCAGATCACTTACTGCTTGTGGGGATTCCTAACCTCCATCTGTCCTCAAGCAGGGCTCCTATTCCTCTTAGCTTCTTTAAACTGTTCTTTCCTGACATCATCCAACATTTTCAGAAAACTCCATCTGAGCTCCAGCCACCTTCCATGACCTCATACCTTTTTCTAAAGATTTCTTCATCTGGCTTGGACTCTAGAAACTAAATTGCTACATTCTTCAAGAGCTGTAGGAGGTGTGGCTGGTTTTATCTATCCCACAACAGAGGTAGTTCCAAAAGACAGATGCAGTTATTCTCTTGCACTCTTATTAGAAGAAAACTAGCTTGTTTCTAGCAATGGAAGTTAGCAACAAATTTTCCTTAAGACATACAAGCCATACGAGCTAGACAGCCATACAATCTAGGCAGTTCCCAGCAAATGAGAGACTGTCAAAACTCAAGCCTCACAGCAGTAATACCAGGTTACTTGAGTAAGAACCTCCTCAAATACAGTAAACCAAGCTATCTGTACCTTCCTATATATTTAATGCAAAGAACACTCTAGATATCTTCAGTAAAGATTATTTTTCCTGTAACTGTCTTTTTTATCTAACAATGACTACCTGAAGTCTTGTGTTACTCAGTTTAATCAATCCATGTTTTGGAGTCTTGGAAACCAAACTCCCCATCTTCATGAAGTCATATTTCTTCTGTGAGCTAATATAATGATACCCTGCGAAGCACAGTTTTTAAGTTCCATAAATAAAGGAAGGTTACTAGGGAGTGTTTTTCATGCTGTAAGTAACTTATGAGAATTTATTTAAAAAATATTTTGCTAATACAAATGAAATCGTACAAAATCGTAAGCTTTCTTATCCCCACTTAAATATTCAGCAGTAATAGTTTTAGTTTTGTAACAGACTTAAGAGTTAGTATCAACATGGCTTTTGTTAGTTTTGTAATAGACAAAAGTCACAAAGAATGTCCCTACCACAGAATACACCGAAGGAAACTCTAGCTGCAGGACAAAATATATTCTACACATTGCTTCTACTCCAAAGCGGTCAAACGTAACATTCTCTCGGGTAAATACCTAATATTGCTTTCCAGACCAGAACTGCATCTGCCCACTTCAATGAAGTAGAAAAATCTCTGCTCTGGAGAGTGCATATATGCTCTGGTGCACGTAAGCCCTTCTGACTCATCCACTTATCAAGTCTAGTTGAGGTTCGGTTGCTTGTTTTGTTGTTTGGGGTTTTTTTCCCTTCCATCACTGGAAAAAAATATTTTAATCAGAAAATCTGGAACTCTTATTATGAGGAGATTCCAGTTGTGCGCATCAAGTCTTGCCAATTTCAGTCCTCCTGTCAGTGTCTGTATTGACTTGAAGGTACCGGTTTTTGATGAAACTGACCTGGTTTTCAGTTTTGGCAAGGCTCACCGATAAGTTAGACACAAGAATGTTAACAGGGTTGCTACATATGCACACATGAATTTTAGATTCACACCAAAGCTCTGTGCAGTCAAACTATCTTCACTAGTGTGAACATATCGCCTTTGTCCATCATGCACACAATCATGCCAAAGAGCACAACAATGGTGGCTTAATAGAAAGTATCTACACCACAGTTTAGGCAGAAAGTGAAAAAATGCACCAGGACATGTCTGTATCAAAGCCATCTATTATTTCAGAGAAAATAATTTAAAAAAAAAATCGGGTTGAAGACAGCACACTTCTCTTACACAAACTGATGAGTTACTACTACCCCTTTTGTGCATCAGAACATACCCACAACATTCAATGCATTCATATGCAATACTAATTCTACCCTTCAGAGAAAGGAAGGCCAAGGAATATTCTACTTTGTCACAGACATCACCTTTACTGTTTTTCCAAGCATGACAACTTAAGTAAAAAAGTCAAGAACACAAAACATTTTGAAGTTCCAGCTACTACTATCTGTGTCCCTTGTGAAAGTACTTTGTACACCTTTTCTGAAAACCCTCCACCCAAAACTTAAGTGGGCTTCAAGACACTTTACAAGAGAAACAGCAAGTCAGAAGTAAGTTCAGTTCCATCTAGTATGCCCAGAGTTACATCTTGCAAGTTTCATATCTTCCATTTAATCACTCCAAATCAGAAGCAGTCCTAGTTAATGCCAATTCTTTAGTTCACTCAAGTCCTGCAATACAGGGTGTGTGGGGGAAATATGCTCATTAATAATTTATAATGCTGTGTTGGAGACAAATGCATTAGTGAAGCTTAAGTGTTTCCCATGCACCTGGTTTACTGGCTACCAGATGATGAGGGCTACAGCTGCTTTGACTTTGGGTGATATTCTGAGAGGCCAAAGTAACTGCAGAGGCAAGATATATGCATGCACCAAGTGTTTTAGCTGGGAGTTAAACACCTCAATGATAAACAGCAGTCTATGGAAGCATTCTCTTCCCACTAAGGTGATACTCTAAATACTGCTGCTTGCCAGAAAAGGCTTAAAAAAAAAAATACTGTAGCTATGAATGTACCAAGAAAAAAAAAAAAAGCTGTTTTTTTCAGGTATGGGGATAGAATGAACAATTCAACAATACACATGAAAAGCTTGCATCTTTCACTGACTTATTCACTTCACAACTACTGACAAGACTGATGTACATATTTCCGCACCTGCAATTGTAAAAGCAGATAAAATATTTAATATGTAATTTACAATGTATTTTACCAGCTTGGCATACAGAATGAACAGAATATATCAAAGTAGTTGACAGTTATAGGCTTGTGGAGGCCCTGCAAAAATATTACTTCAGATATCTGCTAATTTAAAAAAAATCAGTTTGCATTTTAGAAGTGATACAGTTCAATCTACCACAAAATACAAAGAGCTGCAAAACGTATACCATTCCAACAACAATGTATATAAGTTATTAAATAATGATCTGATTTAAAAGAATATAAATGAAGCCTTTAAGTAGGTCTTTTCTACATGCATATTATTCCTCATTAACGAAAAATATGTAAAAAGGCCATTGGTAATTGCTTTGTTAACCACTGTAGAAAATGCCAATTCTCTGGTCACAGATGCCACTAGTTTAGCACTTAAGGTCTCTGCAGTGTTACATGTGATTACTTTTAAATACTGTTAATTCTATTACTCCATTGGTAAAGAACACGTGACTTGGAATATGGCAGTCTTCATATTGAGAGGGCAGTGAAGCACAGTTTTATAATTATCCAGAAGAACAGCACCCTCCAGTGCTCTGTACTTGTGGCTCATCATCAATGATCTGTACACCTCGCCTTGCTATTCCTGACTGGCTGGAGCCATTGCCTCTTGCTCTTTCATCCACTTGAGCAGTTTCTATCATTCCTGTAAAGGAAGAAATGTATTAGATGATATTCCACTGCATTTTGATCCGAGACTTTGAGATCTTAATCCATTTGAGGTGCATGCACAAAGTTAGCAAGATCAGTTCTATTTATTATCTGGAAGTAAGTACTTCTTAAAGTGATACTCTGGTACCACATGGCATAGCTGAAAGAACATACTTAAATCTTTTTCCTAAAGCACCAAACATCAGCAGCTCATGTTGACTAGGGACACTTTAGATGCTCAGATGCTCTAGAACAAACAACTTCAAAAGCCAGATTTACCCACCCATATCAAAAACTTCCTGTTAAGAAAGAAAACAAGAAACCCAACCCACATAGCACCCCACCCCACAAGACAAACCCTCAACCTACACCTCAGACATTCAGGTGAAGTTTTGCTTAAACTCGTGTATCATAAGACAACAATCAATATGACAACTTCCTTGTATTACAAGGTTACCCTACACTGTGATTTTTAACATTTGCTTAGACTGCTGTGTAAAATTTGGATCACCACAACTTCCAAGTTTATGATTTGTAATTGACATCACCTGAGAAAATCCTTGAAAGAGACTGAAGCAGAGGGTTTGAAGGAGGCAATAGTGAGACCCATCACATGAGGTTTGATTTGAGGTTACTATTTATACAAGTGAAACAGCAGTTAGTGCTCCAACAAATGATAAGACATTTTTGGAGTAGAGCATGAAGTTGCAATATTGTAAGCACCCCATACATCAAGCTCCCAGAGCAGTTACAGTACACAAGTGGCTTGAAGTAGACTCAGATGAAGTAAGTTCTTAGGAATAGTTTACATTACATTATGGTTTTAAGCATTACAAAGCCTTAGCATTTTGTGAATGAGCTCTTTACCAGCAAACTAGATAATACCTACTTTTACAAAGGTCAAGGAACAGTTCTTCAATTCCTTTGTTCTGTTTAGCTGAAGTATGATAATGTTTTGCTCCAACAGATTCAGCATACCTGTAGGAACAGATACAGAACTCGATCGTACTAAAAGGACTAAAACTTTCTAAGCTATTTTGCATGAAGCAAGGAGATGATCACAATAGGTTTTATTCCAAGTTCAGAGTTAATCTACATGTGCTGCACAAAGGGAATTCTGTGGTTAAAACTGCTGTGACTGATGAAAAACACCAGATTAAATAAAGAAAAAATTCATGTTTAGAAATGAAACTAAACTAAAAAAACTAAAAGCATTGACTTTAACCATGTACAACTCTCAAACGATGCTTTTGTCAAAAAGGACATTCCAGGACTCTGATACAAACAGAACATTTAACACAGCAGCCAGCTAAGCACTGCTGGTTTATATTGCCAGTTATTGACACCATCACAAGTGTATTACTCCAGCATAATTCTGCAATGACTGTGAGTAATTGGCATGACTTACGTTTCTGCTTCTTGCACTGAAACGTGTCTCTCTTTTTCCAAGTCTATTTTGTTACCTGTTGGAAACAATTCAATCTTCAAATCTTTGTACTCCAAAATTACCCAAAAGGAAGTAATCAGGTAATCACTGTACCCCATCATTTTCTTACAAGCTATCCCAGTAAAGATCTTACACAGGTCTCAATTTGGAACACAATGATATGATTTAAAAATCTGCTTTCACTAAAGCATTTACAGGCAATGAAAAGGAAGTTCTACTTCTGTAGAGATCAAGATAGCTAAGTAACTCCATATAAACCACCAACTCAGCCTTCTGCTTTTCTTTCATAATTTATTAGCAGCTTATCCCTGCTACAGAGCTAGTTTTTGTAGGATATCCTTACATCTATCTTCCTGAAAGTATTTTAATTACTAAATATGATTTTAAATCTAAATCCAGTATTTCTGTTGTGTTCTGTTTGAGCTGAAATACCCAAGTTTTAAGACTTGCTCCACTCCCCAAGCACTTGATTATGAAAGACAAGCATCCAGCCTATGCCACTGAAAACAGTAGAAAACATGACATTTGGGTACCTACAAAAACGATCATACACATTTGAGGTTTATGTTTCTCTCTGTTGGACTACAGTCTTCAGGTGTCTGTACCATGCACTTCTGACATGACTATCATTAAATAGCTAATTTTTTTTAAATTAACTCTTCAATTCCTCAAGGTGATCTACAGAAACTTCTAGCTCCAACTGAACATTAAGTATCAAATTAACATAAACTTCACCACTTCACATGTACAAGCTGTCAAAGCAATGTTTGCAAAATGCTATTAATTAAAAGAAACATTTTTGATTCAGTCATTAGACTCATGTTAAAAAAAAAGACTTACCTACTATACATAAACAGATTTCATTTCCCAACATTTTTCTTAATTCCTTAACCCAATTTTTTACCTGCAAAAAGAACAAAAGTTCATTCTCACTTGATATACTTACTACTAGCTTAGCTATTGTGGAACTGACTGATTTCCTTCATTAATCATTTACTCTAATCTGGAAACAAATGTGTTTAGAGCAACACAGATGGACAAAATATTCTTTATATAGCTATGCATGGCTCTTGTTCAGCAGCTGAAATTAAGAGCAAATGACATAAATAAAACAGTTCAATTACTCCAGAAATATAACTCACCACACTTGTGTTAGACCCACTCCAAAGAACAAGTTCACTGCAATGGTCACTTTAGGTCAGGCATGAGATGTTTTATCAACAGGCACTTACTGACAGATCACAAATGGTACTTTAAAGGCAGAGGTACCCGAACTGAGTAGCTCAGGCTACATTATAACAGATGTTTGTTTCCCAAGAGAACAGATGGGACAAGAGTGTCAGGTGATGCTAAGTTAGCTGTTATCAATTCTGTTATCATGCTTTGAGGTTGTCTGATCAGTGCACTGACTTAGGGACTGTTATTTTTAGGGAATTAAATCATGACGAGGTGATCAAGAACCTAAAAATAGTTAGGATATACACAATACAGAGGTATGCAATAACTTCTGCCAATTAACCTTCCCTCTTTTTTTTCCAAGAGCCACAGAATTTTATTAAGTAGGGCTCCACGTGAAAAGGAGTACATTAAAGTAGTACTCAAGTCATTCCAATTCTGCAGATGGAAGGCAAGAGTTTAACTTTTAGCACAAACACTTTACTTGCCCTGCATCACACTATTTGAGTTACTTAAACTGTTGCACAACTATAGCCTTACACTACTTCTATCACTGCTAACCCAAGCCTTGCCCATACAACCACAGTTTCTTACTCCTCTATACTAAAGCCCTACTAGTTTTGACACAAGTTAATCGGAGACAAACTCACTTAGGAAACAGGGTCACCAGTTTTCAGCTGGAACATCTTATAGTGACAGCACAGATTTGACACAAGGGTGGTAAAAACCTCACCTGCTCAGAATGATCAACTAATATTGCTATAATTAGCCATAAAATTTAAGGGTTTGATGAGGATTTGAAGTCCAAATACCTATTACCACTGAAAAAGTAATGTTTCCACGATCATGTATTACAGAGTTCAGATCTGAAAAAGGTTATGTCACTCAATATCCTTCAGTAATTTGGTTTATACATTAGAGATCAGTACTGTGTACTACCACAACAGTTCTGGTGTATGTTTGTAGCCTGTCACATTAGATGGGAGGTAATTCACAACTAATTCTCTAATGGCCTTTGAATAACCTTGATAGAACTTCACTAGACTGATAAAGTCAGCCTTCAAAAGGCGGCTAGTAAGACATACACTTCTACTAAATTCACAAATGTAGTATGTATTGCTCTTGCTGATAACAGAAGATTCCCATTTACACACACATACCACAGATTATCTTGCCGTTTACAACTCCCACAGAGGTAAGAACTGTCCAGTACCTTTTGAAAAGAGTCTTCATCTGTTATATCATATACTAGAATGGCACCATTAGAATCCCTGTAGTAGATCGGCCCCAATGCATGAAATCTTTCTTGACCAGCTGTATCCTGCATTTAATACACACTTGTTAGCATTTAAGACAAAGCAAACAATACTTCAAGAAACTCCAAAGACTTTGAAATTTTACTTTTATTAAGAAGTGCCTAACATTTGAGTTCTAATATGTCCAAGTAATTTTTCAGCAAAATAGAATATTTAGCTAGGGGAGGGAAAATAGGAAAGTGAACATACCCATATTGCAAGGTTTACTCTTTTCCCACCAATATTCAGCTTCTTTGTAAGAAAAGATGCCTGGAAAGTAAAACAGATGAGTTAAGTTTTACACACAAATGTCTCATTTGACTTCAGATTAATTTACTAATAAAAACATCTGAATCAATAAGAGACAGATTTCTAGATCAAAATACTGTTTAAGCCAGAAGGCTGAGTCAATACTAAGCCAGTTAGTCATTTTACTACAGTTTGACAGGAGTCTATTCTAAATAAATTTGGCTTAAGCCAATCATTTACTACACCTTTTTGCTGTTGTTTTGAATGATTTGGGGAGGATAAGAGTCGTGTGTAAAGACTCTGAATTCACAACACTGATAAGTCCAAGCTGACCTCAAAGCATTTCACAAGAGTGCACAAACTTTGGGTGGGAACCAGCCTAACTGGATTTTTGATTTGGAGGAATGAGACCAAGTAATTCACTATCATTGAGCTACTAAATCAAAATAAAACAGTTTTTCACTAAAAGTCTCAGAATACTGGCATTCTGCACATTTCCTTGTCTGTATCTTTTCCTTTTGCTGAAGTGAGCCCACAGCTCTCCCCATCTGTTTTGCGGGGCTTTTTTGGGAGCAATGGTGGGGTATGGGTCATGTTTCCCCCCCTCCCCCAACTGTTCATGAAGGCTCAGCAATATGCTTTTCAGCTAACACAAAAGCAAGCTGCAGGATAAGAAAAGCCCTAGAATAAGCATTCAAACTTCTCTAAGAGTTCTACTACACTACCTTCTGAAAATGTTTTACAGGACCAGAGTATATCACAAGGTTTATCCAAGTTCAGCAGCCCAAGAGTATATCTGTTCTCCAAGCCTGCATAACCTACATTTTTAAACACCACCTCCGATACCAAATGTATAATTCAGTGGCTAAAAAGGGGCATAATTTAATACAAGTTTAATAGTCTAGAACAAGGTCTGAAGGAGTCAATGCATCTGGAACCTGCTCTCATTGTTCCGCAAGCTATCAGTGGCAGGTTATCATCATACAATTCAGTTGCCAAGGTTTTCTGACTTTTGCCTTAAATTATACTCAGTTTTCCTTTCAGCTTCACCTCAACTTGCATTTGGCTACAAACAAGAGCTCAGGGTATTTTACAGTACATTCATCCCAGATGATTTTAGGCTGGACTCTTAACAGTTCAACATGAGCTCTCTCTATCAGCACTCACCAGACACTGATCTAACTCATGTGCATGTAACAAGTGTCATAGGCCACATCAGCTGCTTGATCCAGCTTACTGCTTAACTACACAAGCAACCAGTACACACATGTACTGATAGTTCAATTTACACCAGCCTAAACTGCTATCAAAGCACCTCTCTGGAGCAAAGCCTGTATTACAGTTAAAGTCATCCAACACTCAGCTGCTAGAGTAGGTTCTGGTCTTCAGCTACTTCCCCAACATCAAGTCTGGTATCTGTATGACCTCAGGTGAGGCGATTCACAAAACTTCTCTTTTCAAAGTAAATAGTATGTTCCTCTAAAGCTTTCCATGAAGTCTGATAAACACAACAAAGAGAAGGCAGACTAGAGAAACAAAAACTTTCCAAAAGGAGACAGCAAAGAACTAATTATAGCCATTGTATTAGACACAACTAAAGCATTAATGCTACTCCTGCAGTCTACAGTGAGGAGGCGTAAGTCAGCTTCAGAAAAAGCTCTAGACAGCACGTTAAAAGTATTTAACACTCCAGCCAACTCGTAACAAATATCTTAACAGCAAAGTTAACAAACATCTTACACATCAGGAAAGCTTTAGTTCTTTAATCAGCAACTCTGAGAAGTTTATGGCTTTCAGCTAGCTGTCCTTAAGGTTTATCTTATCAGTGCCTTGTCCTCATATCATAATTTGTTCTACTACACCACAGTTTAAAAGCCAAAAGCTTAGACGTGACTTCAGAAGTTTTGATCCATCAACTCTTGGGCCACATTAAGAGAAGATATGGTTAGACACAATGAATCCAGCTTACCTAACACTGCTGTACTGCACTACTTGATACTCTATTATGAATCTTAAACAAAAAACTCTTTTGAGCATTGTTTGCTTTTGTCACAACACTGACAATCAGACCTGTTCAGTTGATATGAATTTCACATAAGTGACCAAGAATCACATTTCTGAACCAAAAGCCCGAAAAATCCTTCACAGGAACAGAGTTTATATTTAAAAAAAAAAACAAACAAAAAACAAACAAACAAAAAAACCACCACACAGAACTCCATATCCATAAAGTTACATCATCATGGCTATAGACATTAGCCCAATTAATATCACAAATATCTATGGGGATAAGCCTACTTTAATATTTGCTCTGTCAGATAAAGGTAAGTATCACCAGTCCTTTGGGTCATCACAGCTTTTGATAGCAATACTGTCTTTTTAGCACTAAGTATTTCCTTTGCTATATACCCAAGTATTAGAAGACCCATACATTCAAGTAAGGCTTTTTAGTATCTTCTGAACAAAGCAAAAAACAAAAACAAAGACTAGGGCAAGAGTATTTAGCACTGGGCTATTGTACTTGCTGTCTGTGTTAAAACTTGATGAATTTGTACCAATCAAGTTTTAGTCTAAAGTCTTAGGCCCTTAACCAAATTAAAGAGTGACAATCCTGTATCAGTTAACCAGATTACAAGCAAGTTTGTCTAAAAAGTTTGTCAGACAACAGGACTAGAACCCAGTTTGAAGTAATCATGGTTAGTAATGAACAGAAGGCTTTGTGAACATGTTGTGAGAAACAGTCAATACTACATTACAGATTAAATGTTTCATTCTTCTTTACTGTGTTCATATACTTGAACACTGTTAGCAGATTCTGTTACTGAATTAATAGGTATGGGCAAGTTTGTTGTATTTACTATCAGTAAAGTTGGGTTTACAGCCACAGTGACAAACCACCTAATATTTACCTAATACAGCCCCCCCCCCCCCCTTTTGTCTCATAGAAGAGCAAGGCTACTACTACTTCACTGACTATGCCCTTAGAAAGGAAAAAATAATCAGGTGGACTTACAAATCTGGCTGAAAAGTCAGTTCACCTGACTATTCAATCCAAATAAATGAATCAGGCAAACTGATTGAAACCACTGGGGGGGGAACCCAAAACAGAAGGAAAAGCCTAACTACTGTTTAGGGATAGGTCAGGAGCTCCTTTGGAAAAAAAAAAAAAGTCAGCTGCCAAGAGGTCGAAGCCTTTGAAATTCAGACAGTCTAGACAGCATTAGGTAATTATATATAGGGTTAAAAACATTTTTTCTAATCTCCCAAGAATTTACTAAATTGAGTGCCTACAGATTGAAGTCCAAGTTGTGTCTTGACTTACAATCAGTAAGTCATAAATAAAATTCCATATTATTTTCATTACAATGACAATTCATTTTTGCTAGGCCTTTCAAAACCCCACAAATATGTGAGACCACAGTTAATTCAAAGGTAAACTCAAACAGCTCTTTGAAGCAAGGTACTAATTCTGGTATTTGGCTCTAGTGTCTTATGACTGGCCTGAAGACTACTTTTGCACTTAAAAGGATAACGCAATTTTAAGAGCTAAAACTTCATTGTCTTCATGTGCCTATAGAAAGATTTGGGTTTTTTTCTTCTAAGAGCTCAGTTTCAAATGTTTATCAGGCCCTGTTAGGAGTTGATAAAGGGACCCGAGTAGAACATAAGGAAGACCCAGCTGGTAAAAATTCTCTTGAAAGTCACTTTAGTGTATGTCACCTGCCCCTTGACTGCCTCATCTTCAGCAGAGGCAACCAAGGCATACAAACACTGCATACAGCACTGAACCTCCTGGCACTGTCATCCCCTTGCTCCCAGCCCCAGCTCTCTTAGACAGCCAATATAGCTTTTCCAGGTTATGCAAGTCCATCGCAGCAATCAGGATCCATATACCATCAGCGGGTCTCTCGGGTTGGATATTTAACAGCACACCACACATTTTAAAGATTAGCACACAGAAGCTCTATTTATCTTGAATAATTAACAAAGTGTCTACCCAAATTAAAAAAATGCCAGGAGGTTTATTGGAGCAATTCCAGCATAGTTCACTTGATACTAATTTATAGCTCAGAATTATTTTATCAAGACGAGCACTGATCTTAATATTTCTGTGAATGGGAACCAATTTTAACTGTCCCATCAGATCTGAAAACACATTTTGGATTGCATTAATTACCTGCACCAACCCCTACCTTTTCTGCATCAGTTTGTTCACATTATTCTAGATAAATGTCAGCTTCTGTGAGTCAGTAGCTACTTTAAATTTAATTTCAATATGCAGGTTATCGATATCTTGATACGACATGATGCTAACATACACATGACTTGATTCTAACATACCTACAGCAACACATCCCAACAGCCTCCTAACCTCAAAGGAAGTTCCAGTTCACCATTTCCCTCTAGCTAGCATTTAGGGAAAGAGGACACAAAGAAAAGAGAAACAGCTCCCTTTCACTAAAAGCCATCTGTAACCAGCACAGAAAGAAACTCTATTTGGCGAGTTTCACAGGTACACAGGTTAACTTCAAAACAGAATAATACTTAAGCGTCAGAACTCTGATATGAAAGTACAGATATACATTAAAGATTCACACTGACCAATTTAAAGACTTCTTGTGCTCACCCCCATCACTGGGCTCATACTGCAGGAAGCACCAGCCAACATCACTAAGTAAGTTTCCAGAAAGCTACACTGTCACCACCCTTTTTGTTGTGGTCATATTGGAACTAAGCACTATGCAATAGTTTCTCTTATTCTAAAAGAGAGAACACTGTATGTGGAGAGCCTCTTGTCTCAACATTTAGTGATCCTTTCATGTGATTCATCACTGTGTCTCCTTTGCTGAATCAGGAGCTAAGTATTTACCTGATTTTGGCTTTACTGGAGCAAAATAATTTGGTACAGAACTCTGAACTGATGCTGTGAAACAAAGCCACCTTATCAGAGTAAGACTTCTATCTTAAGAAAAAGTATGTTTTGCAAAAATATCACTTCATTGTTTAAAAAATAAGGAGAAACTAGGATATCTGAAAAAAGACTTAATTTGCTAGTGAAAGAACTTAGTCCAACGTTTTTCTGGAACTGTAAAATGTAGAAAACCAAGAATAATTAAGGTATTTCACAACTCTGTTATGTAAGGCAAGATTCAACAGCAACTGATACGGCATTTTACAATCAATAAGAAGTATATGTGTCTAAGGAGGCCAAGAACAAAAAAAAGCAAATGAGCTAAGAAACACAGTGCAGTCAGTTAAAAGATACAGGTATCAACGAGAAACCTAATCACAGTGAAGAACCAAAATTTCTGTATCAGGTGTGGGCACGTGCTTCCACTTCTCCACAAGCACAAGCACACACACCCCTCTCCAGAGAGTCAAAACCAAAAGCTTTACAGTCACAGTATCTAGAGATGTTTTCCTGCCAGCACTTTGGAGATTCTTAAAGGTCTGTTTTCCAACATTTGTGACCCAAGTCTGTATTCCAATTTTAGATTTTCCACTACAGATTTAAAGAACATGGTTAACAAAAACAAACAACCCACCCTCCTAAAAAGGCACACAAAAACACCCACAAACTACTGACTTGCATTAACATGACAAACTACTCAGTTCCTCTCTTTTCATATGGAAAAAGAGAATTCAGCTATACCCAATCATTTTTATGGCCTTTAAGCAACTGTTTGCTCAATGCTACACTTCAGCTGTAGTTGTAATTCTTATGGGCTACCAGTCATTTCTATAGCATAACAAATATCAGTTACCTCTATGGCAATCAGAGCTACAATCAGCTTTCCCTAATGCCACACCACGCCTAATAAACCTATGAACAGATTCATCCAACAACGAAGTATGAACATAGGATAACAAAGCTTCAAAACATGTTAATTTTTTAGCTCTTTATAGCAAAAATAGGTATGTGTTTATGAAATATTTGCTGTATTGTTTCTAGCACATCTCTAATGTTCCTTTGCTTTTTAAGGGTAAGTTTCACTATTAAATACCCACGAGTTTCCCCAAGTATATAGGAATAGCACACAACTACCCCAAGGCTCTCTTTCAGCATTACCTACTATTTATTTTCTTCTTCACAGATCCCTGAAAGTGTTCAAAAGCCACTAGTGGCCCACACGGTGGCAGGGCTTGTTTCTTTATTTAGAAAACAAAATATCAAGAGCAATAAACATTATAGTGCTAAAACCACACTTTCATACACACACAACTGCTAAGAAAGATTCTGTGCAACTGTCACTACAAATGAAGAAGTAAAGCAGAGACATCCTGAAAGACTTAAACTTCACACTGTGGGTCGTATGTTAAAACATGTTTTCTGAGACCACGTACAATATAAGCATTTTATTCTCTACCATGGCATACTAGCCATTCAGCACTAGCAGGTAATGAAAAAAACATTACTTTCAAGCAGACACCCTGCCACATTTTTAGTTCTTTATAAATTAGCAGAGCCAGAAACAGGCCAAATTCGTGCAGCTAATGTGACAAGCAAGCCTTAAGAATCTTTCCTGTTATTAGATCATAAGCCCTAATCTCATAACCCATTTTGTAAAAGCTGGTCTCTTTAAACAGCAGTATTTAGGTAGCCCAAGTAGTCAGATCCGAGAACATGAAAAAGACTGTAATTAACAGAAATGCAGCACATATGAAGCACTTAGTCATCAGTCCTATACCAATGACTACAATAACACTACTTTCAAATCATACTTCCCAAGATTCAACTGAAGACATTCAAGTACATAACTGGAAAAAAAAAAAAACCGAGCAGTTAGTATTCAGAACAGAAACACGGCCTTTAAGTATCGAAAGCTTAAGTCTGAGGAGTAAACAGCACCAGGAAATCAGCTTCCAGCAAACTCGGCAGCGGACAGCCACCATTTAAAGCACAGCAGTGATCACTCCGTCCACCGTTAAGCGGTAAACAAGACGGCAAACACCGAAACACTAGTGCGGGTTTAAGGACCAACCCTTCCCGGGCACTAGGGCGGAAGGGGCAGGCCGGTGAGCGGCGAACACAGAGACGTAGGGGCAGCTGGCACCGGCGAGCAGCCCTAGAAGGCGCGCAGGACAAGAGGAGAAAAGCAATGAGTTCCTCCCGCCCCCCCTGCCTCGCCTCAGCCCGGTGGCTGCGAGCCAGGGCCCCCCGCCCGCCCGCCCCCAGCTCGGCCCGCACCTGCAGGGTGGTGATGTGCTTGTCGTTGAACTTGTTCTCGCAGTAGCGCAGCACCAGAGAGGTTTTCCCCACGCAGCCCTCCCCGAGCAGCACCACCTTGAAAGAGAAGCTGCGGCCCCCGGCCGCAGCACCGGCCCCCGCCGCCATCCGCGCCCCGCAGCCGAGTCTAGCCGGGCCGCCGCCGCCTCACATCAACGGTCTACACCGCCGCCCACCGGGACGGGGAACCCGCGACGGAACAGGAGGAGGGCCCGAGGGACGGGAGCGAGACAGGGAGCGATGGAAAGGAACCGCCGAACCCCAGGGAAGGCGGTAGGGGAGAAAAGACACCCAGAGCCACAACGATACCCCCAACCGACAGCCCCGCTCCCCCTAATGGCGTCTTCTTCCTCCTACGTCAGGCGCCGCCCGGTCACGCGCACCACCCCGTCCGCCAATGGACGGCGTGGACGCGACGGCGGCGAAAGGCCCCGCCCAAGGGCCTCTGAGGAGATGGGCGAGGAGCGGGGAGGGGCTGTGCGGGGCCTCCAGCAGAGCGAGGCGGAGGCGGAGCCGGAGCCGGAGCCGGGCGGCAGCTCGTCCTCCTGCTCCGGCGGCCCCGGTGGCCTGCCTGGGATCGGTTGGGTTCTGCGCTGCTGCGTGGGTGCTTGCACGGCGGCGGGAGCAGCGGTGCGAGTAAGTGTACGTGCCTGACGGCAGCTCTGCGGGCGGCGGCCTCCTCGCTGGAGGGGCAGGCCGTCCGGCGCGGACGCGGAGGGTGAATCACGTCCCGACAGCGGCTGGATTTTTCCACTGCGCGTAAAGGGCAGCCAGAGATGCGGCTGGGGCGAAAGCAGCTGCTAGCAGCGGCCGGCCTCGGTGGGGGGAGCTGCTCTTCAGGCCTGTCCCAGGAAACGCCCTGAGGGGAACGACTTGAGGAGTGCCGAGAGGGCAACGCCGCAAGCCCGAGCGTGACACACAGCTGTGCCGTGCCATAGAATAATAGGACAGTTTGGGTTGGAAGGGACCTTAAAGCTCATCCAGTTCCAGCCCCCAGCCATGGGCAAGGACACCTTCCCCTAGACCAGGTTGCTCCAAGCCCCATCCAACCTGGCCTTGAACACTGCCAGAGATGGGGCAGCCACAGCTTCTCTGGGCAATCTGTGCCAGCGCCTCAGCACCCTCACAGGGAAGAACTTCTTGCTAATATCTAATATAAATCCTGTTGGTAGAGATAGAAACCCATGCAAGATTTACAAGTGCACCTGGATTTGCTTTTACATGTCATATTGAGGCTTTCTAATGCAGCACATATATCTACCAAGCATCTCCCTGTGAGCAGAGGCCAAATCCTCTAAAACCAGATTATAAACATAGCAAGCACAGGTTTTGTTCCAACTTCAGTGTCCCTATTCATATGAACTAAGTTATATGAGTCTCTAAATGTTTGCAGAAAACCTAGCCCATGGTTAAGTGCTGTATGAGATGTAGGAGCAGGTGATGAATAAAGCACAAGAAAAATGTTGAGTTCCATGACTATAAGGGTCTGGTAGTGTTTCATTCATTCAAGAGCTAGTAATTGCCTTGTAAAACTGGACATCATTCCTTAGTTAAAAGCAATCCTCACAAACCAATCCAAAGTGCTGCAGCTTAACTTCTCTCTACGGATCATTTAGTGGTAAGAAAAATAATGCTTATGGGAAGGCACCATAGTGCAATTTCCTTTTTATCTTGTCAAAGAGTATTAATACTTTGTTGTGTGAGAAAGAGTAGAGGAAAGTACATAGAACAAAGATCAAATTTCCTGAAGCAAGAAGCCTCATTACTGGATAGTGTTATGTTCACATACAAAGTGGATTGGTTTTATTTTCTCAAGACATAAATAATACTTCTATTTTATCCAGGTGTAAATAAAGGGACTAGGACAAGGAGGAAAAAAAAACCCAACACAATGCTAACACAGTCGACAGGAGTATCTTCCTTTAAATAAATTCCCGGTTTTATTAGCACATAGGGGGCTTCAGCAAGTTACTATAAAACTGTCTTGCTGTAAAGCAATGCTTGCTTCTCCCAGTCATGCCTTCTGTGTACAGGCAGTAAAACTGACTGGCATGTTAGTTATTCTTCTTTCAGGCTGAATGGAAGGAGAAGGTAAGATCAGGCTCGGATTGATTACGGTTGCCAGAAGCAATGGAAATCATTGCTCATGAGGAGGAGGTGCTTGCAGGGCCCAGCAGATTGAGGCTTTCCTGGATAGCTGGTGACAAGTGCATCTGCTGAAACACAGGGCTGTATGGAAGGAAGTCTTGAAGACTGCTAGCGAAACAGTTTCCTGTTCTTGTAGCTTTTTACTGTTTTCAACAAAAGCAGGTTCTGTACATATCTTCCAGAGAGAAAAAAGCTGAAGCTTAGAAAAGGGAACAGGAGAGACACCCTCTGTGAAGTCCGTATGCTGAATGTACCTGTAAACACTGTTTTCCTAACAGAAAGCACAGCAAAGTGTAAGGCACCAACTGAAGCTCAATCCTGCAGACTGTCTCTCCAGGAACCCTCTGCTGTGCTGCAGTCAGAGGATGCATCTTCCCACTGACAGTTGGCTGCTGTGAATAACTGCTGTATTCTCTCATTTCTGTTTTCTTCTCTCTCACCAGGAGCCTGTGATTACTGTTTTGTTGTACGAGAAGTCCTGTGCCTTCCAAAACTTCAGCTGCCAATACTAAATGATATTAAAAGGCCCATCTGTCTGAGAACAAAAAATTCTGTCAGAGCTACCTGAACCATCGTATTTCTCTGTAATCTGATACCTATGACTTATTAAAATCTGCAGGTTTAACCATCTGTGGAAGATATCAAGTTACTTTATTTTAATAGTGTTTACTTAATTTGTGAAGTGTGCATTTTATTTCAGAGTATTTGAGAAGACAGTGCCTCTTTCATTTAACTTTGTGTGCTTCCTCTTTTTACATAGCTTCCTAAAAATAGTTTTACAGACCTCCTGTTTTGCTGATGATATCTGCATGAAAAATGCCTTTTGAGGCGTATTTTCTATTTCACAAATAAACTACAATACCCTATATGTTATTATACCAAACCAAATTGTGCCATTGTATCCATTGCCATTACTTTTTATCATTCTTGGTCAGAGTCTACTCCACCTTTTTACTTCACAGGCAGCATCATCTCTGAAAGTGAAAATCAGACCCTTCTTTCATCTTGCATTACTAAGTGTCCTTATAAAAGTGTGGGATGTTTTAATTTCACTGTAAGCTTAAATGCTTGTAGCTGTATGGAGGAGATACCCTAGTTGGTCGAACCTACAACTTGAACACCTCCTGTGCCATTGGCAACACACAACTGATTTCTGGGATAATTGCAAGTTTCCTTTAAATTATAAAGGTGGCAGTTGTTTTGCAGATAATGTCACTCTTATATTTGCATTTTTTCCCTTGGAATGTACCTCTGAGCATAATATTGTTTCAGTAAAATGCTCTGAGTTTGTCCAATTTACTTGGAAAAGAAAAATAGACTGAAATTTCAACCAAATAATGTATAGTTGTGTAAGATCAAATGATTCCTTGAAACTGTGTAGATGTCCATAAAAGCAAGAAATCAGGACAATAAAAAAACAAACAAAACCCAATCAAATAAACAAAAAAAAAACACCAAAAAAACAACAACAACAAAAAAACCCTGCACAAAAAATAACAACAACAAGAACAAAACCCCAAAACACTTAAAATAAAGTTAGCAATACTGACTCAGTTCTGTCGGAAAAGAGAGATGCTCAGAATGAAATATGTGCATTTGCCCTTCTGATGTGACTGATAAAAACATCTGTCTAGACAGAGAGACAGTGAACACTGTTCTGCCAAATGGTAATCACAGGTAACATCAACATCAATCAAAAATAATGGTATCTAGGGTGAGGTCATTAGTTTGGGTTGTGTAAATCTGTGATAGAAAATTCAATAAAGTGCAAAGATGCAGTTTCATCCAAAAAAGACTTTTCATGTTCTGAAAATGAAGAATAAAGATAAAGAGCAAAGCATGTGAACCTGAAAAGAACAATTAATTCAAGAAGAATCTTGACCCAGAGGGATTTTTCTGAACAGGCTTTACCCACTCACCACTGAGAGCCTCTGTGTATCTGTGGGGATGTTCTTGACAGGTTCAGTAATGTCCTTAGAGGCTTTAATGTGGCGTGAAATTTGTTTCTAATTTGTAGAAACAAGTAAAACATAGAATCTGATTTCTAGCTAGGAACCAGTGCCAGCAAGGGACAACTGGTATTTTTTCTTATCAAGGAAAAGGTGGTTATTTTTTAAAAGTTCAGTTCTCTGTGTTGAAAAGGTATTGTAAATGTCATCGCCCTTGGCATAAGTAGTTTTAAACCCTTTGCCACTTCAGATTATCTTTTTCATGCATTCACAGCAGCACAGATGGCAATGCCAAATACCATCCCCATGCGATCCTGATAGATCCACTCACTGACAAGCAGCATCCTGGACATGTGCTGGGAACAGCAAGCAGCATGCTGCTTCACCATTCATTTCTCCCCTGCTCTTGGCATTTTCCCTTGCAGGACCAACGGCTCTGCTCCAGCTCTAAATACTCTGTTCATTGTTTCTTCTCCTGCTCTCCCCGAAATGAACATCCCTTGAACTCTTTAGCAAAGGAAGAGTGGGGTGAAAGCAAGAGCAAATCTTGAGGGCAAGGTGGAGCAATCAGCATCCTTAGAGTAAGCTTAGAGAAAGATGCTGGAGATCTGAAGGGGGGGAGGGGGGACGAGGAGTGAGGAGGGGAGAGGGGAAGAAAAAAGGAGGGACTCAAGTAGTCAGGTAAATGGTTTATTAATTTATTGCAATTCTGCTATTCCCTGGGAAAAGAAGGAAAGGAGAGGGAATAATGATCTGGGCTAAGAATGAGGAGGAAGTAAAACCCTCTCATTTTCTCCCCCCTCTCTTTTACATTCTTGCTCTCCTAGTCATACCTACAGTTTTTCTCCAGGTGCCTCAGTGTCGGCAAATTTGGCCATTATCTTGAATATGATTCACTGATTAGTGTATGTTTTTGAAGCCATCCATCTAAGTCGCTGCAGTTCTTGCTGTATTAATAATTAAGCTGTAATAATAATAATCTATGTGTTCTCTGACAACATTACTCAAAATTATGTGTGGGTGTGTTTTATTTATTATAGGAAATACATATTATCTCCCTGGGGAGATCATTCCAGCTGCTCATTGTTCTCATAGTGAAAACTTTTCCTCTGGTGTCCGGCCAGAATCTCCCCAGGAGTAACTTGGGGCCATTGCCCCTTGTTTTTTCTGTGTGACTCTTTGTGAAAA